GGCAGAGATAGAGGACAGTGATGAGATGGGAGATGACTCCGACAATTTACTTACTTGTTATGCTTGTACTGCATAACACTTGTGTGAAGTTGAGAAAACCTGCATCAATGCGATGACTGACACAGAATTTGTATTGTCCCATGGCCAGCGTGACCCTGCTCAGATTGCCAGACAACGTCACATCTCCAGTTGTGTAACACCACCATGCTCTCTAGATCCCAGGTCTTTAAACATTATTGAGCTGACTGTTTTTACCCTGTGGTGGGAATTAAAATATTGTTTATCAGTGGAAATGTTAACTACGTGTCCTTTGTTAGGAGTAAAACAACCTGATTTCTCATGCTTCTTCTGAAAGTAGGAACTCATTGGAGAGAAAAAATGTGTGCCAGCAGGGAAAAAGGAAGAGCTTTCATCTATGAGTACACAACGTGCAGGGTACAAAACAGTGTTTTGGTAGATACCAGTGTTTTGCAATTCAAGCATCACATGACTGGAAAAAAAAATCCACTTCTACCATGGTATTTTTCATTTACAAACAAATAAAAAAATTAAGTTAAACTCTGTTCATTTATTGCTTTAATTTCTCCCCACCTTGTTTGTTTCCCTATTTTCTTGTATGGTAATGTGTATGTTGTTTGGTTCCTTGTTTGCTTTTATTTGAAATAATTTTGCATGTAATTTTCTGAACTCTTGCAGAGCAGAGAGACTAGTAAATGTGTATGTTTATGCACCTTTGTGCATGTACAAAGAATGATGGATACTTAATAAAATGCACATCACTGCAATCCTTTCATGCTTAAGATCCCCAAACAGAAACTGTGAGTATTCAAATAAAATAGAACTGATCCAAAATGTACATATTTAACTTGGATAATAGCAGTCCCCAGATATGTGCCTCTTTCTGCAGTTGGAAATCTGTCAGTTGAACAAAGAGCAGGATATAGTGTGAATTAGGCTGTCCTAAAACCTTTATGTGATAGACACACTTTATGGAGTTAGTTCCATTTCTCTCACATTTCAAAAGCAGACTCAGAGCCTGGTTATCATGAAGACAAACTCCACAAAATCATTTTTTGTACTCAAGGACTGCAATATTTTTTAAAAGTCAGAATACATGTTAAAAGAACAGTTTGTCCCAAGGCTTATGGTTCAGCTGAAGAAAGTTTCTTCTTGATCCATCCATCTGAAAAATTGTTCCTGAAAAGTCACTCTGCATAAGGGTGTTTTTGCTATTTTTTTCAGGGAGAAAAAGTATAAATGAGCTGTAAAGCTCGTGTTGTTCTGAACTCTTTCTCTCCTCTTTCACCATGAGTTCACCAAACAAAATTCCACAAGAAACAAATGTTATTATGAGATTAGCAGAATGAACGCCAGAGTTCAGATACTAAACATTTTTTTAAAAAAACAGTGAGCTTAATGACATGAAGGAAGTTGTAGTTTAAACATCAAGGTCAATTATTTCGTTAAATATTATTTAAAAGTTCCTTGCCTTGAAACAAAACCAGAGCTATCCCTTTCCCAAAAATGCAAACAGATTATACTGCCCTGTTTGTCAGCTTCACTAGATAACTTCTATTTGATCTTCAAATGAAAACAGTTTCTATTTCAGATTTATACAACAGGCTGCCTCTAAAAAGAAAAAAGATCCTAAAGTTGGACGGCTGTTTACTTTCCCTTCTAATCCTGTGAGAAAATTTGCATAAGAAAAGCAAGTAGATTTGAGTCTAGCTTTTGCTGTCTACATCGAAAGCAGGAGCATCAGTCAGTCCTCTCTATTTATTCAGACAGAAAGCGATTGTTTTGTAAGTCAGGTGAGTAGAAAATCTTTCAGTCATTCAGCTGGGTTCTTCTAAAAGTAACAAGGACTACTTATTAAAACTAAGTGGTATTTAAGTAAATAATGATAACAGTCAAACATTGAGAGTTTAAAACCTAGCCCCTAGCCCTCCCCCCCTTCCCCCCCCCAGTTGCATGTCTGTTTCCTCATGCCGTAAACTTGGTTTAAAACAACATCCAGAATTGGTGTTTCCTGGATCTTGCAAAGCAGCCCCTTGTATTTGCAGACAGCCTTCTCTCAATTCCTAACAGCACCAGTGTCAGGGAGCACTTCAGTGAGCAGAGCAGTGCTGGGAGCTCTGGGTCTCAGGACCGAGCAAGTGCCCCCAACTCCAAGTGTGACCCCTGGAGCAAACCAGTTCACTCCTCTGTAGAAGGGGAATTGGGACTCATACCTACAAGAGTGCTGTGAAGCAGAGTAGTTTTATGTGTGCAATGTACTTGAATTTTTTTTTTTTTTTTTTTTGTGTATAGAAAGGCAAATTATTATTTTTTGGGAAGAGTATTAGAAGGGATATTTTGGATCATGGGGTCAAGTTCCTTGCTGTGGGTGGTAACCACATCTCAGAAGCTGGTTCTCAAACCAGTCAAATTCCATCTTTCAGGTGCTTTGATTCCTTCCTGACTGCGGAAGGCCTTTTTGGGTCCTCACCACTCTGGTAGAGTGAAGGTGCTTTTCTTTTTCCATCTGGAATCCCTTCCTGGACAGTTTGTACCAATTCTTTCCCATATTTTATTTGGGAGAAGTGGAGGGAAACTGTCTCACAATTTTCAGTTTCATTTGAATTTTTCTCTAGCCCCAGACACCTGGTGGAAAGATGCCAGCAATGCTGTAGGCTGGTTCGATGTACCAATAAAAATAAAATTAAATTAAAAAACCCCCCAACCCTCGTGTAAGAAAAGCGCCATTCTTAGAAAGCCTCCAGCGTTCCAGCTAGAGCACAAACAGCTGCTTATTTAGGACTCTTCTCGGGTAAATCCACAGTCCCGGGCCAAAGGGGCCGCAGCTCTTGTGGTCTCTCACTAGCCCAGACCCCCCCTCCGGTGGGGAACACACAGGGGAGAAGGGAAGAAACGAGTAGGGAGAGGGAACCATCCTCAAACCGCGGCTGAAACTTCGCCTGAGGAGGGCCGATGCTCCGCTGGGTCGAACGAAGGAGGAGAAGCCTCCGCGGGACTCAGGTCCCCGCCCGGGCTCGGCCCCGCGCCCCCCGCCCGCCCCGCCGGGCTCAGCCCCGGGCCCCGGGCTCCGCCGCCCGGAGGAGGCAGCGGGGCTCGCCGGGGCGGGAGATCGCTGTTTTGCCCCTTGCCTCGGGTTTTCCCCTGCCCAGGGAACAAGCGCCTTTGTTGGAGCTGCGCTCCCCAGGGCTGCGGGTGGTTTTTCGTTTTGTGGTTTTGACCTTTCTCCTCCGCTGCCTCCCGCAGGCCCGTCCCCGCAGCGGCGGCCCCGAGGGCGGACGGGGCAGCGTGCCGCCGCCTGTCCCCGGGAGAGCCTCGGGCACGGAGAGGAGCAGCCTGTGGGGCTGAAACGGCGGCGAGCGGGAGGGATCGGGAGCACTTCGCCGGGGTGTGGGACAGAGGCAGCGGTCCTTGTCCCTCGGCCACCCCTGTCCCTGCTTCTGGTGAAGGCAGTGTGTGCCCCCGTGGAAATGCGGTGCGACAGCAGCTCTGCCGGCACGCGGGGCACGGGCTGGAGCCAGGGCCAGGTGTGCCATCGGGAAATACCACCTCCAGCCGCGGATCGAAGAGCTTCCAGGCCATGGCTGCACGGCTCGACAGGGGAGCAAACAGCCGGTCCCCATCCCCCCTCCGACAACCACAGCCCCCGCAGCCTCCATCCAAACTCAGTAAGGCTGAAGAAGCAGCCACCAAACACCCTCGAAAAGAGCCTGCCGGACCTCTGAAAACCCAAAGAAAACCGAACACCAAAGTGGAAACGAGCCAACAGGAGCACCAACGAGCCCCCCCGAATTGTGGGGGAGCCGGTCGGCACCGCCAGCACAACCGCAGCGCTGCCAGCCCGTGGCTAGCCGCAGGGGGCCCGGCGCCCGGGGGACCACCCTCACCCTCCAACGCCGACTGCTGGTTCCTAATTCCTACGAATTCAACCACATTCCCCCAGGGATAACGGGGGCGGGATGGGGTTTAATCCCCGAGTACAATTGCAGTGAAACCACAAGGAAACAGGCGCAGGTGAAGGGCTGCCGTGTTGCTGCCGCAAAACTTGCGGGGGATCGGGGCGCCCCACACAACGACGGGCAGTAAAGGGAGAGCCTCGCCCGAAGGCTCCGAGCGCGGAGAGAGGAGCCGAAGAAAGCGGGCTTTTCCCGCGAAGCGGGACGGGAGCGGCCGGCTGTGCGGGACCAGCCCCCGGTGCGCACCTTCCGCCCCCGCGCAGCTCCGCGGGGACCTGCACGGCTTTTACACGGGCGATCGCGCCTGGCCGGCTCACATCGAGCAAGAGCCTTTCCGGGAACAGGCTACTAAGAGCAGCGAGAGCAGGAGGGGGAGGGTGGGTATGAAATAAAAGGCTAAAGAAACAGTACGATTGTGGGACTAGGACCAAATCCTAACGTGTTACATAAAAGCCACGGGCGGTTCTTATCAGCAAGCCCGGCCTAAAGAGGAACAATCCCCAGGACCGGCTCCAAAACAACCCTGTTAAAGGAACAATTGTGAAATGCCAACTTCCCACCAGCGTACGAACAGCAGGAGCCGGGCATGTCCTGTCTATAACCGGGCTTCTGACAACCGACAGAGAGGGGAGGGGACGGAGGGGGATCCTCTCTTGACAAGATTTATCAAGAAACATTTAACTGGGCTTTAATCATATTAGCAAAAGCCCAATTAGGGCTGAGAGCGAAGCGAGGCTGGAGAGAGGAGGAGGAGCAAGCGATGGAGTCACTCGAGGATAAAGTCCTTTCATCAGGCTGTGCTCTCGGCAAACAGAGGAGTGCGAATAATCAGTGCCCTTCACTGGGGGGACGGGGGAGGGAGCGGCTGGGGAATGTGTGTAAAGGATCATTAAGGCCAGGCAGAAGGGGGTTTTTGTTGTTGTTGTTGTTGTTTTTAATTATTACGGCTATTAAGGTGGTGTCTGTGGGCTCCCTCGGGCGCTCTTCTCAGAGACGGAGCGGGGAAGAAGGGAAGGGGCTCGGAGGCACCTGCTGCACTGCGATGACCTGATCTGCGTGTGCGGATAGGTCTCTCCCTCCCGGAGCAGAGGGGCTCCGTCCCTTCCACTCTACCTCACATCACCGAGGGAGAATTTCCTTAAAAGCCCTTTTCCCGGCTCTCGTCTCGCTGATGTCGAGCTCTTCCCCGGCGCATCCTACCTCCCAGCGCGGCTCCTTGGGGGGAGCGCGGTGCCCCACCGCCCCCGGCGGAGCCCAGTCCGGTGCCCGGGGCTCGTCGAAAGCCCCGCGGAAAGCGCGGCGCTGGGAACGCCCGGGTCAGGGGCAGAGGGCAGAAGATGTCCTCCCGGGGTTCACACTCCGTGCTTTCGCGTGGGCAACCTGCCTTGTCCTTAGGGACTCGGTCGCTCCAGCTGTAGGGGATGGGGTGGGCGGACAGCAAAGAAATGAAGAAAAACTAGAGATGACAAGTGGGAGCAAAGGAAGAGGCTGTGGATAAGCCCATGAACCCCCCTCCCCGGGTTACGCCACCTCGGGACACGGCGGTGGGAGCGCTGCAGCGGCCGTGACCCTGCTTGCGGCTTTCGAGACATCGCCAGCAGCTGCCGGCAGCTGCCCCGATTTCCTGCCGCTCCTCGCGGCCAGGAGAAGGGAGATAAGGCTGCTGGGCAACCGGGCACCTTTCGCCCAAGAGGAGCCGGATCTTTGCGCCGCGGGGCAGAGGATGCTGTCTTTTTCTTTTTTTAACAGGACAGGGCCCGGGTGAGGTTTGCCATTCGCACCGACGAGCATCCCCGCTGTCGGAAACCACCTGACCCGTGCCTGGAGCGGAGGGGCTTTCGCCCCCCACGCCCCCCTCCGCCTCCTCCCGTCGCCCTGGGCCGCCACAGCCACGTCCTCGGGGCCGCGGGGCCCTGGGGGCAGCGCTTCCCCCCGCACCGTGCCCTTTGCGTGACCGTGCCCCCGCCGCACCTTCCCTGTCCCACGCTTACCTTTCCGGCCCGGCCGCCGAGGGGCTGCCCCCCCGCTCCCGCCCCCCGCCCCGTCTCCGCCATCCCCGCCGCAGGGGTGTCGCACGCCGCCGCGCCGGCACAGCCTCGGCTCTCGCCTTGCGCGCACTCGGCTGGCGCTGGCAGCCCCGCCGGGTTCATCCGAGGACAGCGGCGGCTCCGCGCCGCGGCTCGTCTGGCTGCCAACGCCGCGGCGAGGCTGACGCTGCCGCGGCCGGGGGTGACTCACGGCGGCAGCCGCCGGGTAGCGGATCCGACAGTCGATCGGCGAGCGGGCACATCGGGCCCCGCTCTTCGCCCCCTTCCCCGGGCACCGCGTGCCATCCGTAGCACCCATGCCCCCTCCCCGACCCCCTGCGCTTCTGCCAAGTGGAATAAACGCCCGGGTTTCCGGCAAATATTCACCCTTCCGACACCGAACGGGAGGCCGCCCCCCTCCCGGCCGGCACCCCTGTCGGAGGCGGGCCGGGGTCCGTCCCCGCGGCCGGCAGCGCTCCCGGCGGCACCCGCCCCCAACGTAAGTGACCGTCGGGGCCGGGAGGGGGTGGCCGTCCCTCGCGCCCCGTGCCCGAAGGGGCCGCGCTCCGGCGCCAGGGCTTGAGCGGGCGGGCGGGCCGGGGCCGGGCCGACCCCCGGCCGTGTGCCCCGAGCGCAGCCCCGGCCGTGTGCCCCGAGCGCAGCCCCGGCCGTGTGCCCCGCGCTGTCCCCGAGGTGCGCCCGGCGTGTGCCCAGGGGACAGCCGCCCGCCCGCACACGGACAAAGGAAAACACAGAAACTTAACGCGGGGCGGGGAGGGGACGCGGGGCACAGCCAGGGACGGGGACTCGGAGTCCGAGTGACGGGCAGCGGTGTCATCACCGTTGTGCTCTGCCCCGTTCGGCAAACACGCAGCAGGGTTTTAGCTGCCTGCGGTTTCCATGGAGCCCTCCTGGCACGTCCCAGCAAAAACGTATGGCGGATGTCTTCACGGTGAGCCTGCAGCGGGTCTCCCACTTTTTCTCAGAGCTCCCAGGTGGAGTGTTTTCAGATCCTTTATACTGCGTGGCTCAGCACCGGCAGTGCTTTTGAGAAACATGCTTCGTGCATGACATCCCTGTTTTGAAACAGAATTTTGAAGTGAAGCTGTAGCAACACACATCTTTCAGTCCAAGCTTTCTGCTGGATGCACAGTTTTAAAAGCAGTGGCTCCCTGAAATGAGGAGATTATTAAAAGCTTATTTATTAAGAAGCTCAAACCACAAAGGTAATGGTAATGAGTGTTACATACTCTGCATACACGCTCAAGTTTTGGATAGAGGATGAAGGCATGAAATCGGGCCTGTACTTAAAAATATTCTAAAGCTACTTGTCAGAAATGTGCTAAAATGCTAAGCCATGGATTTAGTAGCATGGATTATGCTGTCAGTCCTTCTACCTAAAGTTCATTTTTAAGTCCAAATTTCAGCCCTTTGAGAAAAGATAGGCAGAGGAAGAGGAGGAGGAGGAGGAAGAGACTATTTTAATTGAAATGCTGACATTGCTAACCATGGCAGTGTGAATTCACTACTATAATAAAACCTCAGCTAGCAGCCTAATTCCAGAGAGGTGATGTTATCCAGTAATAATGTAATCAGTTTGTTGGCTGTAACATAGGAAACTGGGAATTACTATATTTTATTGGTATTTTTGGCCAAAATGTAAGAAAAATCAATAAGATGCCAGGACTGAGGCAGGAGAGCTACCTTCCTATTTAAAATAATAAACCAAAGTTCTTCATGAACATTTTTCACTTCAGTGCAGTTTTACAAAAGCATACTTAAAAAGGGACAGCTAGTGAGAATGCAAGCTTTCAAGCTAGGAATTGGAAGACAGAAAGGCCCAAGGGTGTAACATTGTTAAAAGTGAGAGGTCCTGAAAGCACAGTGTTCACTTTACAAAATAGAAGTTTTCTCCTGGGTAATCGCTGAATGAGTTTGCATTGATTTGCGGCTGTGAATTTAAAGGAAAAAAAAGGGAAAGAAAATAAATGAAGAAGACAAATTCCTTGTTAGTAAATTGTGATGGAACAGTTAAGAAAATTGTGTCAGATATATGAAAAATTGGAATTGACTGCTTAAGCTTTTGAGTTTATATAGTCAGGATTCTTCATCCCTCATATCTGCCTTTAATACTTGTTTTTAAGGAGTAAACATTCTGATAATTTTATAGGCATCTGGCTGTCAAATTACAAATAAAAGCAGAAGTGAATTAACTTGTAAGGTGCATGTACCAGTGGAACCATATCTTCCAGAGAGGGTTAGTCAGTGTTGTTAGTGAGGTCAGAATTTTAGCCACTGTGAAGGTTTTGTTGTTGCAGAAAATTGCAAGGATAGACCATATTATACCTCTAATTCAGGTTTAGATTTTGCTGTTGCTCTTGACCGTGTTCTACCTGTTTAACCTTAACCAAAATTCACTGTGGTCAGTGGGACTCTTTGGGTTGGGGCCATGAATTCTCTGAAGGAGCAAATCTTAAGTTTCTCCGTGTTGCTAGGAAGCCTAGTAGTATCAAGACAAAGACATATGACTGTATGTGAAGACAATGAAAACAGAGTAATGAGTATAGCCAAATCATAACTGCCATTTGAACAGAGTGGCTTGTAAATAACAGAGCCCTACAAGAATACTTGGGTGTGTCTGAGTCAACCCATTTTGAAAACCCTATGATATGCAGCTGCAGAAACAACACAAATTATTGAAAAACAAAACTTGAAAAGTCTTGAAAGTCACGTTTCCAAATACAAGTGCTGTTCTGCATATAGATACATCACATGTTGTCCAGTAACTCTTAAAAAGTAGGCTAAAACTGCTACAGTCACTACCTTGTTCATCTGATCTACTTAAGGCAACATGAACCCTCTTTTAAAACTTGCATTCAACAAAGCATTATTATATGTATTGCAGTGATTTGTGAGCGTGTATAGTCTGGGCTGTGGTTGATGTTCACTGTCAGGCTTAAATCCAAAAACATACAAATTAATTTGCACTACGTGACCATTTGCACTACAGAGTAATGAATTGGAAAAGATATTTTGAGAATATTTTTCAAAGCTGCCCGTGTACACTTGCTTGAAGCTAGAAAATCGACGTGATATAATGATAGTTATTTTGGCTTTATTGTGGAAGATAATGTCAGCTTGTGACTACTGACTGGATGTGAAACAAAACTTTATGGCTATATGGATTGGGTTGGATGTGGTATGTCAGCAGTCATACAGGGTACTAATGGAAGCATTGTGAATTAGTTCTGTGAAAAGATTCATGTGACAATTAATTACTGTTTCTCTCAAATACAAAATGAGAAGGCATTGAAAAATTAATTGAGGAAATTTATGTATGGATATGAAGCATGGTAGTTTGGGTGCCAGCTGCCACACAGGAAATTCCCAAACCACTAACTGATGGCACTTTTGAGAACTTAACAGGTTAGGTTCCAAACAGTAGTTTCAGTTTGGTTTTTTTTTTTTTTTTTTTTTTTGGTCATTAGGCCATGACAGAGAGATTACACTAGCCCAATAGAAATATTTTTTGCTTCCTCGGTGAATTGTTCTTGAAGTCTTACCTCCTTCGTCATTGCTCACAATTGCTTAGCTTTTTATTTTTGATACAAAATGTCACCTTTTTAATTGAGAGACTGAGTATGATAGTGTGGAGGTGGGTCCTCATGTATACAGGAGGCACAGAAGCAAGTGAAAGAGGAAAAGGGAAAGAAGAGGGAGTTTGGAGGGCACAGAAGGAAGATGGGAAATGTGAGGCTTGCATTGGAATGACTGATGATGGGATGGGAGAGGAGGAGACCGGACCACTGACTGTGGAGACAGCTGTGTTCAGAGTTTGTTATTTGATCAAACTACTCCTTATTTAACATGCCCTGCATTTCTCAGTGGGGATACAGCTTGGAATCTGTGTGAAATGGTGAAAGATTGAGAAAGTAAAGACAGAATGAAAAAGCAAGAGACAATTCCCTAATTTGTTTCTTTTGCATTTCTAAAGCCTGCCTAGCCCACACATCGGGTAGGGTATGCTTAGAATCTTGGAAGAAAAAATAAGCTGCAGCTGGAACAAAGTTGGAAATAAATTCCAGTAATTTTAAAGATGATAAAAAATATCTGACCATTCTTTCTCATTCTTTCTCCCTCCTCCCTCCAGAAGGTCCAACAAAATCACCTACCCCATGGCAAATGCCTGACAACAAGATGGTATGTGTATCTACTCTGAAATCAGAGTTTAGGGTATATATATGTAACTGCAACTCATATTTTGTCCTTCTCATATTATTTACATGGAACTTTCACACTGCCATATTTTTTACTTTCTTTTTCACTCAATTTGCTTATTTGCTTTTGGGACAGAAAATCCCTCATGCAGTGTGGTCCAGGTTATACTGAACCACGGATGTCTCATGCAGAGCAGTATCTTATTCCACACATGACTTACTCATGTTTCAAAAGTAGGGTGAGTAATGGGTGCTGGAATTTAGCTTTATACTGCATTTTGCATCTGGGGTTTCAGTAATAGGTTCATGAAGTTCACAGACAGCTAGTAATTTCTTAATTTTTTAACCTCCCATTCCTGCCTTTTCCCCCCATTTCTCCAGAGGCTTTATGTGGTCCTGGAGGACTTTACAACTTTGCAAAATGATACAGAACTATATCAAAATGCTCCAAGCATGGTATAAGCACACAAGGTGTATTTGTGCTGCAGAAATACCAGGTTTTGACTGGGCATGATCCCATATAGCTGTAGGGTCAGCATTTCATCTTCACCAGCAGAAAGGTTTGCAGTGACTGCATGTCTTAGGGATGTCCTCAATGTGCATAGAAAGCAAGCAGTGCTGGACTATTTACATTGCAAGTGGGATGATTTAGATGGTACCCTGCAACGTCATCCTTGGATACATGGAGAGAAAACCGATGTGCCTGTGATGCTCTCAAGTACATTCTATACGCCTCCAAGTACAAGGGCAATTTTGAATTTAGAAAGAAGCTCTCCAATGTGCTAAGCTGCTGATGTAGCACTTGCAGTGAGAAATATACTGGTCCAGATAGAACTCTTGGGAATACACTCAGGTCAGACAAAGTGGGTCTCAGAAGGAAATGCAAAACAAGCAAACAAACAGAAGTGTTCAAACACACAAACAACTTATTATTTGATCTGGAAACAGAACAGAGGTGTTGCCGGTAGCTGCACTTGTTCAAACTTCATTTGAGCTTCTGATGTAACTTTAGTTAGTGTTAGTCTACCCAGCTCATGTCAGACTCTGGACTGTGGGTTTTCTTACCGGTGACTCTGCAGCCTCTCAGGCTCCTGGGGCTACT